AGTACTGATGCATAGGGGCACTTGTACCCCAATGTTCATAGCAGCACTCTCAACAATAGCCAAATTATGGAAAGAGCCTAAATGTCCATCAACTGATGAATGGATAAAGAAATTGTGGTTTATATACACAATGGAATACTACGTGGCAACGAGAAAAAATGAAATATGGCCTTTTGTAGCAACGTGGATGGAACTGGAGAGTGTGATGCTAAGTGAAATAAGCCATACAGAGAAAGACGGATACCATATGGTTTCACTCTTATGTGGATCCTGAGAAACTTAACAGGAACCCATGGGGGAGGGGAAGGAAAAAAAAAAAAAAGAGGTTAGAGTGGGAGAGAGCCAAAGCATAAGAGACTGTTGAGAACTGAGAACAAACTAAGGGTTGATGGGGGGTGGGAGGGAGGAGAGGGTGGGTGATGGGTATTGAGGAGGGCACCTTTTGGGATGAGCACTGGGTGTTGTATGGAAACCAATTTGACAATAAATTTCATATATAAATAAAAAAAAATAAAGGGTGACTAAATAAACTTTGGCTTATCCATATAATCTATTCAGCAATAAAAGAAATGTATTACTAATACAACAACTTGCATGAATTTCAAAGGCATTATACTGAGTGAAAGAAGACACTGTCAAAAGGTTACATACTGTATGGTGTCATTTATATGATATTCTTTTTTTAAATTGAACTATAGTTGAATACAATTTTGTATTCAACACTTTCAGGTGTACAATATAGCGATTTGACAATTATATATATTACAAAATGCTTACCACAATAAGCATAGCTACCATTGGTCACCATACAAGTTATTATGACATTATTGCCTACATTCCCTGTGCTGTACTTCTCATTCCTATGACTTATTTATATTATGACTGGCAGTCTGTATGTCTTAATCCCCTTCATCTATGTCACCCATCCTCCCACTCCTCCTCTGACAACTACCAATTTTCTATATTTATGAATCTGTTTCTGGTTTTTTGTTGCTGTTTGTTTTGCTTTGTTTTTAGATTCTACATATAAATGAAATATGGAATTTGTCTTTTTCTGTCTGATTTATTTGTCTTAGTGTAGTGCCTTCTAGGCCCATCCATGTTGCAAATGATAAGATTTCATTCTTTTTTATGGCTGAATAATATTCCATTACACACACACACACACACACCACATTTTCTTTATCCATTCAGCTATTGATAGACACTTAGGTTGCTTCCATATCTTGGCTATTGTAAATAATGTTGCAATAAACATAGGGGTGCATATGTTTTTGAATTAGTGTTTTGGTTTTCTTTGGGTGAATACCCAGAAGTGTAATTACTGGGTTCTATGATATTTTTATTTTTAATCTTCTGAGGAACCTCCCTGCTGTTTTCCATAGTGGCTACGCCAATATACATTCCCATCAACAGTGCACAAGGGTTCTACATCCTTGCCAATACTTGTTATTTTTTGTCTTTTTGACACTAGCTATTCTATTTTCATTTCCCCGAAGATGAGTGATGTTGAGCATCTTTTCAAGCATCTGCTGGACATCTGTACATCTTCTTTCAAAAAAATGTCTATTCAGGTCCTCTGTCCATTTTTAATCATATTATTTGTTTTTTTGGTGTTCAGTTGTGTGGGGGTGGGGGAATGGGCAAAACAGGTGAAGGGGATCAATAGGTACAAACTGCCAGTTATAAAATAGCATGTCTTTAAAGGTCATTCATGTCATAGTATGTATTAGTATTTTATTTCTTTTTATGGCTCAGTAACATTCCATTGTATAGATAGAGCACATTTTGTTTATTTGTCCATTAGGTGATGGGTATTTGACTAATATCCACTTTTTGACTATTATGGATAATGCTGCTATAAACATTCATTTATTGTTTAAGTTTAATATGGACATATGTTTTTAGTTCTCTTGGGTGTATACCTAGGAGTGGAATTACTAGGTCATATGGTAACTCTATGCTTAACTTTTTGAGGAAATGCAAAACTGTTTTCCAAAAGGTTGTACTCTTTTATATTCCCACTAGCAATAGATGAGGGTTCCATTTTTTTCATATTCTCACTAATTCTTATTATTATACATCTTTTAAACAATTATAGCCATTCTAATGGGTGTGAAGTGGTATTTCATTGTGGTTTTATTTTGCATTTCTCAAATATCAAGTTATTTTGAACATCTTTTCACATTTATAATTTTTTAGTAGGAAAATATGTTCCAGAGTTTTTGGAATTAATGTTCTAAATTAATTGACAGAGGAATATTCAGACTATAACAACTTCAAAACATCAATCTATATAAATCATATGTTATGTCTTTATGTCCTTATTTCACTTTGCATATGTTCTCAAAGCTCATCCATGTTGTAACATCTGTCAGCATTTTCTTCCTTTTTAAAGCTAGCTAATATTCCATTGTATGTATATACCATATTTTGCTTACCCATGCATCTGTCAGTGGGCACTTGGGTTGCTTATACTTTTTTAGCTATTATGAATATTGCTGCTTTGAACATGGATGTACAAATATCTCTTTGAAACTCTGCTTTCAATTCTTGTGGGTATATATACAGAAGTGGGATTGCTGTATCACATGGTAATTCTATTTTTAATTTTTTGAGGAACAACCATCTGTTTTACAAAGTGGCTGCACCATTTTTACATTCCCGCTGTTTACAAGAGTTCTAATTTCTCTGCATCCTCAACAATTGTTATTTTCTGTTTTCTTGACCCTGCCTCTCTTAATGGGTATGAGGTGGTATTTCATTGTGGTTTGATTCCCTAATGATTAGTAATGTTGAGCATCTTCTATGTATTTTGGCCATATGTAGATCTTCAAAGAAATGTGTATTCAAGTCCTTTGCCTATTATTGAGTCAGGTTGTTTAACTTTTTGGTGTTGAGTTTTAGTAGTTCTTTATATATCCTGAATATTAACCCCTTACCAGATATATGGTTTGCAAATATTTTCTCCCATTCTATGAGTTACCTCTTTACTCTGTTGATAGTTTCTTTTGATGTACAAAAGGGTTTTTTTAATTAAAAAAATTTTAATGTTTATTTTTGAGAGATAAGACAGAGCATGAGCAGGGAGGGGCAGAGAGAGAGAGAGAGAGAGAGAGAGAGAGAGAGAGAGAGAGAGACAGAAGCTGAAATAGGATCCAGGCTCTGAGCTTTTAGCACAGAGCCCAATGGGGAGCTTGAACCCACAAACCATGAGATCATGATCTGAGCCCAATTCAGATGCTTAACTGACTGAGCCACCCAGGTGCCCCTGATGTACAAAAGTTTTTTAAAAGTTTTTGATGAAGTTCAATTTGTCTGTTTTTTCTTTTGTTTCCTGTGCCTTTGGTGTCATATCTAAGAAATCATTGCCAAGTCCAGAATCATGAAGCTATTGTGACATATTTTCTTCTCAAAGTGTTATAGTTGTTATAGTTTTAGGCATTAATATTTAGGTCTTTGATCCATTTTGAATTAATTTTTTTATATGGTGTTAAGTAAGGGTCCAAGTTCATTCTTTTGCATGGGGATGCAGATATCCAGTTTTCCTAGCACTGTTTGTTGAAAAGTGTGTCCCTTGCAGCCGCTCTGGAAAACAGTGTGGAGGTTCCTCAAAAATTAAAAAAAGAACTACCCTATGACCCAGCAATAGCACTGCTAGGAATTTATCCAAGGGATACAGGAGTGCTGATGCATAGGGACACATGTACCCCAATGTTTATAGTAGCACTTTCAACAATAGCCAAATTATGGAAAGAGCCTAAATGTCCATCAACTGATGAATGGATAAAGAAGATGTGGTTTATATATACAACGGAATACTACATGGCAATGAGAAAGAATGAAATCTGGCTATTTGCAGCAACATGGATGGAACTGCAAGGTATTATGCTAAGTGAAATAAGTCAGTCAGAGAAAGACAGATTCCATATGTTTTCACTCATAGGTGATCCTGAGAAACTTAATAGAAGTCAATGGGGGAGGGAGATGGAGGGGAAAAGTTACAGAGAGGGAGGGAGGCAAACCATAGGAGACTCTTGGATACTAAGAACAAACTGAGGGTTGTTGGGGGTGGGGGAGAGGGGAAAGTGGGTGATGGGCATTGAGGAGGGCACTTGTTGAGATGAGCACTGGGTTTTGTATGGAAACCAATTTTTCAATAAATTATATTTAAAAAAAAAGCCTGTCCTTACCTATTGGATGGTCTTGGCCCCTTTGTCAAAAATCATTTAACCATAAATGTGAGAATTTATTTCTGAACTCTCTATTCTATCCCATTGTTCTATATATTTGTCTTGATACCAGTACCACACAGATTATATAGTTTTGTAAGTTTTGAAATCAGGAAGTATGAGTCCTCCAGTTTTGTTCTTTTTCAAGTTTGTTTTACCTATTCAGGGTTCCTAGAGATTCCATGTAAATTTTAGGATGGGTTTTTCCATTACTGCAAAAAATATCATTGGGATTTTGATAGAGATTATATTGAATGTGTAAATTTCTTTGGACAGTATTGACATCTTAATAATATTAAGTCTTTCAATCTATGGACATTGGATGTGTTTCTATTTATTTATGTCACCTTTAATTGTTTCAACAGTATTTTGTAGTTTTCACTTATTATGAGATGCTTCTTTTTCATATTTGTACTTAAATTTATATTTGCCATCTCAAGGCTATGACAAAAATGATTATCGATGAATCTTTAAAATGAACTGTAAAATGAATCTAGGTTTCCAAGTAATTGGATAAGCTTATGGTAACCAGAACATTGACACTAGGAAGGAATGAGTTGAAAATTTAATTTTTAAATCATTCCAATATTTATTCACCACATATTATAAACCAGAACGGTGACTGTGCTAGACATTCAGAAATCAGTGGTAAACAAAAAATGACATAGTTTCTGCTTTCATAAAACTTATGGTATTTGTGGTTTTATGTGCATAAAAATATGACATACTGTGCAATAATCTTGGTCCTCCTAATGCTTCATGTGATAGAGGTTGGTCCGTGAGCCCCAGAACTTGGAACACTGGCTGGACTACGGTGCCTTCTGCCTCCTAACTGAGGACAACATCAAAGCACAGGAGTGTTTTCGGAGAGCCCTTTCCTTCAACCAGAATCATATCCACAGGTATGGGTGGAAGATAAGTGAAGAATGAGTAGGAGCAGATAAGCTTCTGTAAGAAATTTTCTTGGTTCCATGACTGTGACACGGGACCATGTTGTTAATCACGTTGCTGGGTGTCTTCTCAGCCTGTTGCTGTGTGGTGTCCTGGCTGTCTTGATGGAGAACTATGAGCAGGCAGAAATTTTCTTTGAGGATGCTACTTGCTTGGAACCAACTAATGTTGTAGCCTGGACTTTACTTGGTATGGTATTTTCCTGTGATATCAATGTGTTTTTTTCCATTATAAGATTCTCCCTTTCTCTTTTCATTCTCTAATAACTCATCATGTAGTTCTTAAACTTTGGTAAAAAATTTGAAAAGACAAGTGAAATGTTGCAATTCTTTAGTATATGGTGGTAGAAAACCAGTCACATTTATTTTAGCATTTTTCTTTCTTCAGGTTTGTACTATGAAATTCAAAACAATGATATTCGAATGGAAATGGCATTTCATGAAGCCTTCAAACAACTTCAGGCACGAATGCTTCAGGCACAAGTAGCGAAGCAGAGGGGCACTGGTACTGTAGAGTACATTGAAGAAGGAGGGAAAGTAGGATCCAGTTTAGGCCCTTGGGGAATCACTAATGGTTCTGCAACAGCAATGACGGTGGAAGCGGCAGCAGGTAGGACCAGGAAACGGAGATGATGAGTGGCTATTAAGAAAATTAGTGGCCTTATGAACTTGGCAAATATTTGTTAAATGAGTTAGTAGATGGAGTTTTGAGTTGTACCAGGTACACCAAGAAAGACTCCTTCTAAATATTTCCTCATTCATATGTTTGCAAGTGTGAAGTTTTCACTGTTGCTATTCAGGTTTTTGAATCTTAGAGAATTTACTGTCTCTGTTTATGCATAAAAAAGGTATCATTGTAGCAGAGTAAATTTCTTTCATTATCCCATCACTTTCTTTTCCAACACTCTCAATCCCTCTCTTGTGGTTCTTAAGTTTATTTATTTATTTACACACACACACACACACACACACACACACACACACACACCCTTTTTTCCCTGTCCTTCATTGCCATTCTCCTTTCCTCCATTTTAGAGAATCAATCATTCTAATGTGTTTAATTTAATATGTGGGTTTTTGTTTATGTGTTTCTTGCATATGGTATTTTGTTTATATGTTGTTGCACATTATTATTTTGTGTGCATGTATTTTTAACAGTTTGTCTGAGATGTAATGGACATTTATAAACTGCACATATTTAACACATACAATTTGATATGTTTGACATATGAACACACCCATGAAAACATCACCACAATCAAGGTAATGAACATATCCCAAATCTCCAAAACTCTCCTTGTGCCCATTTGAATCTCTTTCTCTTGCACCCATTTCCAAACAACCACCAAGCATCTCTCTGTCACCATCAGTGACTTTGCATGTCTAAAATTTTTGAATTCTAGGAAATTTCTAGAATTTTCTGATTTATTCTTTACCTATATATATTATTTATCAACTTATACATGATTGGAATTGATTTTGACTTGAAAGTTTGACAGAACTCAACCATAAAACAAGAGCCTGGGTGGGTTTTTTTGTTTGTTTTTTGCAGGAGAAGGTGTCTACCATTTCATTTTCTTAATATTTAATGTATTTGTGTTCTGTATTTCTTATTGTGTTATTCATGGTATTTTATACTTTCTAGGAATTCATCTATTTCATCTAGGTTTTTAAATTTTATTTATTTTTTTATATTAATCAATTATTTTTTAATAGACTTATTTTTTAGAGGAGTTTTAGGTTCATAACAAAGTTGAAAGGAAGGGTTAGAGATTTTTCATATACTCCTTTCCCCTACCCATGTGTAGTCTCTCTTTTTATTAACATTCTTAATGACATTTGATGAGGAGTATTTTATCATATGCTTATGTGCCATTTGTATATCTTCTTTGGTGAGGTGCATATTAAGGTCTTTGGCCATTTTTTTTGTTTGTTTTTACTTTTTGATTTTAGAGAGAGAGAATGAGATCAGGGGAGAGGGGCAGAGGGAGAGCACAAGAGAGAGAATCTTAAGCAGGCTCCACATTCAGCATGGAGCCTGATGTGGGACTTGATCCCACAATCCTGGAATCATGACCTGAGCTGAAATCAAGAGTCGGGCACTCAACCTACTGAGCCACCTAGGCACCCCTTTGGCCAGTTTTAAATCAGGCTTTGTTTTCTTATTGTTGAGTTTTAAGAGTTCTTTGTATATTTTTAATTTAAAGTATAATTGATATATAACATTATTTAGTTTCAGTTATACAACATAACGATTCAATATTTGTATGTATTGCAAAATGATCACTACAGTAAGTTTACTCAGCATCCATCATCACACACAGTTACAATATTTTTTTCTTGTGATAAGAACTTTTAAGATCTACTTTCTCAGCAACTTTCAAATATACAATAGAGTATTATTAACTATAGTCACCATGCTGTACATTACCTGACTTGTTTATTTTCTAACTGGAAGTTTGTACCCTTTGACTACCTTCACCCAATTCACCTACCTCTTATACCCTGTATCTAGCAACCACTAATCTATTCTTTATGATTTCAAGGCTCTTTTTTTGTGTTCTTGTTTTTTTTAATATTCTACATGTAAGTGAGATCATATTGGGTTTGTCTTTCTCTGTATCATATCATACCTATATATAATATAGGATATTATAGCATAACAACATTATGCTAATATTATATAATAATATCCTCATGATGCATCCATGTTGTTACAAATGGCAATATTTCATTCTTTTTGATGGCTGAATAATATTCCATTGTATACCACATTTTCTTTGTCCATTCATCCATTGATGGTTACTTAGGTGGCTTTCATGTCTTGACTACTATAAATAATTCTGCAATGAACATGAGAAGGTATATATATCTCTTCAAGTTCTTATTTTCATTCCTATGGATAAGCCAGAAGTGGAATTGTTGGATCATATGGGTATTTCTAGTTTTAATTTTTTGAGGAAACTCCATACTGTTTTCCATAGTGGCTGCATCAATTTACATTCCAAACCACAGTGCACAAGGGTTCCCTTATCTTCATATCCTCACCAACACTCATTATTTCTTGTCTTTTTGATAATAGCCATTCTAGCACATGTGAGGTGATATCTCATTGTGGTTATGATTGGCATTTCCCTGATGATTAGTGATGTTGAGCATCTTATCATGTGTCTGTTGACCAGCTAATACGTCTTCTTTGGAGAAATGTCTATTCAGATCCTCTGCTCATTTTTAAAATAAAATTGTTGTTTTCTTTGCTATTGAGTTGTAGGAATTCTTTATATTTTTTAAACATTAACGCTTTATCAGATGTATGATTTGCAAATATTTTCTCCCATTCAGTAGGTTGCCTTTTCATTTTTTTACAAGTTTTCATTTGTTGTACAGAAGCTTTTTAGTTTCATAGAGCCCAGTTGTTGATTTTTACTTTTGTTGCCTAACAGTGTGTATCTTGATTATGGTAGTGGTTAAAAGAATCTATAAAATGGGATAAAAATGCTTAGAACTACATACACATACACACACACATACACATACACACACACATACACACACAAATGTATATGAAAACTGGCAAAAATAGATGAGGTCTTTAGTGCACTAAAGAGTTTTGTACTAGTATCAATTTCCTGGTTTTGATATTATACCATACTATAGTTGTATAAGATGTCACCATTGAAGAGAGGCTGGTAAGGGTACATTGGAACTACATGCTCTGTATTTGCAACTTCCTTTGCATCTATAATTATTTCAAAATAAAGAGTTAAAAAATCCTTACAAGTAGCAATTGTGAGCACTTACGTGAAGTCTTAAAATATAAAGCTCCATGTAAAATGAAGGCAACAACAAAAACTACCCAAAAAAGCTAATATTCAAAACTTATTACTTCTTTATTATTTTACTATCATCTACACTGTTGAAGTTATTTTATCTAATTGTATTCATATGTAGAAATATTACATAATGGTATGCTATTGTGCATTTCTTCCTAACTCTTCATTCAGTGATGTAACATTGGTTTCTTGAAATCAGCCATGATTGGGGACTTTATATCATAGAAATCAGTAAACACTACAAATCAGCCTTCTCACATAGCTAAAAGCCAATTGTTGAACATTTACCAGCTCATGACTCGATATATAGGAAAATTTCAAGTATTTGTAATTTAAACAATACACTTCTAAATTTTTTTTTTTTTTACATTTATTCACTTTCGAGAGACAGAGAACAAGCGGAGGAGGGACAGAGAGAGAGGGAGACACAGAATCTGAAGCAGACTCCAGGCTCCGAGCTATCAGCACAGAGTCCCATGCGGGGCTCCAACTCACAAACTGTGAGATCATGACCTAAGCTGAAGTTGGACGCTCAACCGACTGGGCCACCCAGGTGCCCCTAAACAATATATTTCTAAATAACCCACATGTCAAAGAAGAAATCACAAAATAGTTCGAACTGAATGTAATGAATCATACAACAAACCAAAATTGGTAAGATGAATTAATTAGTTCCCAGAGGGAAATTTATAGCTTTAAATACTTCTATTAAAAAAATAAGAGGTGTGCCTTGGTGGCTCAGTCGGTTAAGCAGACTTCAGCACAGGTTGTGATCTCCTGGTTCATGGGTTTGAGCCCTGCATCGGGCTCTGTGCTGACAGGTCAGAGCCTGGAACCTGCTTCAGATTCTGTGTCTCCCCCTCTCTCTGCCCCTCCCTGCTCTCTCTCTCTCTCTCTCTCTCAAAAGTAAATAAACATTAAAAAAATTTTAAAAAAGAAAAAGAAAAGACAGGGGAACCTGAGTGGCTTAGTTGGTTGAGTGTCCGACTCTTGATTTTGGCTCAGGTCATGATCTCACAGTTTAGGAGTTTGAGCCCCACATCGGGCTCTGCACTTGGGATTTTCTCTCTCTCCTCCCTCTCTCTTTCTCTTTCTCAAAATAAATAAATAAACTTAAAAAAAAAGAAAAGAAAAGACAAAACTTCAGGCTACCCCATTCCTTCCATAGATTCAGAAAATAGAAGAGGGAATACTTCCCACAGTTTAACCATAGTTATTACTGTGATATCCAAAGTTAGACAAACCCATCCCAAGAAATGTACACACCAATAGCCTTCATGAACCTAGACACAAAAATTCTTAACAAATATTAGTCCATGAATTTCAGCAATATATATAAAAGGTAATATATCCAATTGAAGTAAGTTTGGTCTTACATTTGAAAATTGATGCAATTTACCACTAGAATAGTTAAAATTTTTAAAAATAATAATACTAAGCTATGGCAAGGATGTAGAATAGCTGGAACTCTCAAACTTTTGGTGGGAATGCCAAATGCTAATAGCCACTTGGAAAAACTGGCAGTTTAAAAATAGTTATACATGTGCCAGCAATTTCACCCCTAGGTATTTACTCAAGAGAAATGGAAACATTGCAATTTGTACACAAATGTTCATAACAGATATATTTATAACAGGAAAAAACTGGAAACAATCCAACTGCTTATCAGTAGATGAATGGATAATAAATTTTTTTCTTATGTGCACAATCAAAAACCACTCAATAGTAAAAAGAAACAAATTACTGATACACACACGGATGAATCTCAGAAACATTATGCTAAGTGAATAAGCCAGATGCAAAAGAATAGATACTATATATTCCATTTAAATGAAATTCTAGAAAAGGCGAAACTAATCTGTATTGACAAAAAGCAGATTAACGGTTGCCTTTGGATGGGAGTTGAGGATTACCTTCAAAGAACACAAGGGAGCTTTCTGGGGTAGAAATCTTTTTATCCTGATTGTGACAGTGAGTACATAAGTGTATACATTTGTTAAAATGCACTGAAGTATATACTCAAAAGGGAGCACTTTATTATATGTAAATTATACCTCAGAAAAGTTGGATATTAATATTTTTCACTAAGATCATAGCTTACTCCTCAATCATTAGTCTGAGGTATTTAACCACTCTCTCCTTCCTGAAATACATGTTGGATTGCCTCCTACATCTCCCAACAGTTTGGGTTTCCTTTGTAAGCTTCTCTTGATTATTACACTCATTAGATGTACTCATTTCCCAATAATATAGTCATACTTTCTAAGAGCTCACCTGCACTCACAGTTTTCCTTTTACTACTGATGACTCTCAAATTTCTGTATTTAGCCCTGACATCCGTCCAGAACCTAGGAGCTGGGTTTCTCTGCTAGTAAACTTAACTCTTCATCTCTCAAATTGACTCTACATCACTCACTATATTAGGCACTCAAGTTCATGATCTGAGTCATCCCTGCATCCTCTTACTTTCTGTATTGAACTTCCGGCATCCTTCTATCAGATTAATTCTCAAGACCATCTGGTTCTCTTTCAAAATGCTCCTTGCATCTTCCCTTTAAATTTACATGACTCTTTATTACCAAATACCAAGATTGTTGTAACAGCCTTATTACAAACCTCTTTGTCTCTGTCTGCATTTTTTTCTTCTTGCTATGTAGCACTGCTAGAGTAATCTCCATAAAATACTGCTTTCATCTAATAATTTTTCTGTTCAAAACTTTTCACTGTGTTCTCCTTTTGTCTACAGAAGAAAAATCCTAGCATTAAAATATCAGTACAGTCTAGCTCCAACCTGTCTTTCCCTTCATTTTATTTATGTAATCCTCAATACTCTTTAAAATAATTAGCTCACTAATGCATCTGACTCTTGATTTCAGCTCAGGTCATCTCATGGTTTGTGAGTTCGAGCCCTTCATTGGACTCCTTGCTGAGTGGAGCCTGCTTGGGACTCTCTCTCTGCCCCTCCTCCTCCCCTCTCAAAATAAACAAAATAAATAAATAAACTTAAAAAAATTAGTTTTTGGGGCTCCTTGGTGGCTCAGTCAGCTGAGCGAGCGAGTTCAACTCAGGTCATGATCTCGAGATTTGTGGGTTGAGCCCTGTGTTTGGCTCTGTGCTGACAAGCTCAGAGCCTGGAGCCTACTTTGGATTCTGTGTCTCCTTCCTTCTCTGCCCCTCTCCCACTCATGCTCTGTTTCTCTCTCCTCCTCTCTCAAAAATAAACATTAAAAACTAGTTCACTACTTCCATGCTTTTGCCAATGGCATGCTCTCAGCCTTAAATGCCCCTCCCCCTCTACCTATCCAACTTCTACCTATTTTTCAAAGCCATATCTTTTAGAAGAAGGGTGACTTCTTCTAATTGGGAGTCAGTTGGTACTGATCATTTCCTGCCTGGTACTGCTTTTTTAAAAATTTGTCAAACATTTATTTATTTGAGAGGCAGCAAGACATGTTCTGGAGCTTCAACCAATTATTTAACTTCTCTGTGATTCACTTTCTTCAAAGGAGCATAATGAATGTTGTGAAAAATAAATTATACAATAACGTTTTTAGTACAATTTTTAGTACAATTCCTGGCATACAGTCATGCTCAAATATAGCTACTTATGATGATGATGATGATGGTGATTTTTGAACACTGAGATAAAATGAGTAGAATTCCTGTCCTTCAAGAGTTTTAATTTAATCTAAAATATATTAACTTTCTTGACATGCTGGGTTTAGCAAATAACTTTTATGATAGGTATTTGTTTGACATTTTCATGACTTAGGCTAGCAGGAGGGTTGGACTAGGGGTCCTAGTTATAGAAAGCTGTGCTATCAGTTTAGCTTGTACTCTTCAAATTATTCAGAAATATAAAAAGTTTGGGGCACCTGGCTGGCTTAGTCAGTGGAACATGGGACGCTAGATCTCAAGGTTGTAAGCTCGAGCCTTGTTGGATCTAGAGATTACTTAAAAATAAAATCTTTTTTAAAAAAAGAAATATTAAAGGCTGCAAAAGAAGTCTGTCCTTACAATATTTAGGTAATATGTTTCTTATGCTTTGAAAATAATTATATTTTATCTCCTGTAATAACCTTTTAATATCCAATGTAGGAAGGTGGGGTTTTTTTCTCATTCAAGTTTAATCTATTTAGGACCAAGAGATCCATCATACATTCTAGATGACTTTCTTGAAGAATCCTCCAAACTGCAGTCTGATTCACGAGAAAACATTTTGTCCCTACAATATCAAGATCCAACTATCAGCCAAAAACCATCCAATATACTTCTCAAAGACATACCAGCAAAGAAAGGTACTTAGGAATAAAGATTTCCACTTGAAAGAAGAGCGTAAACAAACTAGACAATGATGAAAACACTTATGATTACCAAAATGGTGATCTTAACTTGTGTGAAGTTGATTAGTCATATCACCTAAGTTCCTTCATATGAGGCTAAACTCTGATAATCCAAATTCAGTAGTGTAGCTCTTTCCATAAGGAAGGTTTTATATTATCTCAGAGAAGTAGCTAACTACAGGCTTATGATTTTCTTTTTTCTTCAAGTTTATTTATTTTGAGAGAGAGAGAAAAAGAGAGAGAGAAGCAGAGAGAGAGGTAGAGAAGGAACTCCAAATAGGCTCCGCACTGAAAGTGTGGACATGGCACTCTGTGGAGCTCAAACCCACAAACCATGAAATCATGACATAAACTGAAAACAAGAGTCAGATACTTAACCAACTGAGCCACCCAGGTGCCCCCAAACTTAAGATTTTCAAACAATGATCATTTTTAGAATATCTACATCACATTCAGGATGATCTGCATACATTAAAAAACCATTTCATTGGTTGTGACTTGCATTTGGAACCACCAGTAGACTAACCTTGAGAACTTTTGAGATCTTTAGGGACCATTGCTATAGAGCAATCTATTGCTTTTCAGGTTATAACCTCTCTCATAGATTAGAATAGTCTCCTTGCTACATTTGTATGTCTGAGCTTCCGACATTCTTTTCCTTTACGTCTAACCATCTATTCTTTTAATATAATAATTTCAGAAACATCAAAATGTCAAGATTCATCAACGTTTTTGCATCCCAGCCCTTATGGTGTTTCCCAAACTCCTGCCACCATCTTCATGGAGACCATACGCTTCTTGATGAAGGTCAATGCTGTGCAGGTCAGAATATTTGGAAAAGGGCAAGTAGATAGAAAGATTTTAGTGCAATGATTATTCAGTGGTGCCCTTCCAAGCTTTAATATTATGATACAAAAATCAAATATGCTTTTGAGGGCACACTGTAGGCCCAATGGTGTGAATATCCAAATGTGAACCACTCTCATCATTCATGATGAAAATGCAAATTGAGATAGTATCAAATTGGCAAATAATATTACCCACTTTCAGTGAAGTAGCAGGGAAATGTACCTCACTATACATCTGCTCCCTGAAGAATACCAGCAGAGCAAAATCAGGCTCTAAAGGCATATGTAGCCTAATATCACTTTATTATCGGAATTCATATTATGTGAGTGTTGGGGGTTAACAGGAGGCTAATTATACCCTCATTTCTCTCTAGGTTGTAAACAATTGGAAGCAGATACACAGTGCTATGTGGGGAATAAAAATATTAAAGTTATTACTTGTAAACTGGGCTGCAGGGGCGCCTTGACTCTTGATTTCGGCTCAGGTCATGATCTCACAGTCATGGGATGGATCTCCACGTTGGGCTCCGTGCTGAGCATGGAGCCTGCTTAAGATGCTCTCTCTCCCTCTCCCTCTGCCTCTGCCCCACATGTGTGAATACAGTTTCTCTCTCTCAAAATAAATAAATAAAATCTTTTTAAAAAATGGGCTGGAAAAGCCCTACAAGAGATCCTAAGGGGGATCCTGTGAGACAAAGTACCAGAGACATCGCTACAAGCATAAAACATACAGACATCACAATGACTCTAAACCCATATCTTTCTATAATAACACTGAATGTAAATGGACTAAATGCCCCAACCAAAAGACATAGGGTATCAGAATGGATAAAAAAAACAAGACCCATCTATTTGCTGTCTACAAGAGACGCATTTTAGACCTGAGGACACCTTTAGATTGAGAGTGAGGGAATGGAGAACTATTTATCATGCTACTGGAAGCCAAAAGAAAGCTGGAGTAGCCATACTTATATCAGACAAACTAGACTTTAAATTAGAGGCTGTAACAAGAGATGAAGAAGGACATTATATAATAATTACAGGGTCTATCCATCAGGAAGAGCTAACAGTTATAAATGTCTATGCACCGAATACGGGAGCCCCCAAATATATAAAACAATTACTCATAAACATAAGCAACCTTATTGATAAGAATGTGGTAATTGCAGGGGACTTTAACACCCCACTTACAGAAATGGATAGATCATCTAGACACACGGTCAATAAAGAAACAAGGGCCCTGAATGAGACATTGGATCAGATGGACTTGACAGATATATTTAGAACTCTGCATCCCAAAGCAACAGAATATACTTTCTTCTCGAGTGCACATGGAACATTCTCCAAGATAGATCATATACTGGGTCACAAAACAGCCCTTCATAAGTTTACAAGAATTGAAATCATACCATGCATACTTTCAGACCACAATGCTATGAAGCTTGAAATCAACCACAGAAAAAAGTCTGGAAAACCTCCAAAAGCATGGAGGTTAAAGAACACCCTACTAACGAATGAGTGGGTCAACCAGGCAATTAGAGAAGAAATTAAAAAATATATGGAAACAAACGAAAATGAAAATACAACAATCCAAACGCTTTGGGATGCGGCGAAGGCAGTCCTGAGAGGAAAATACATTACAACCCAGGCCTATCTCAAGAAACAAGAAAAATCCCAAATACAAAATCTAACAGTACACCTAAAGGAAATAGAAGCATAACAGCAAAGGCAGCCTAAACCCAGCAGAAGAAGAGAAATAATAAAGATCAGAGCAGAAATAAACAATATAGAATCTAAAAAAACTGTAGAGCAGATCAACGAAACCAAGAGTTGGTTTTTTGAAAAAATAAACAAAATTGACAAACCTCTAGCCAGGCTTCTCAAAAAGAAACGGGAGATGACCCAAATAGATAAAATCATGAATGAAAATGGAATTATTACAACCAATCCCTCAGAGATACAAACAATTATCAGGGAATACTATGAAAAATTATATGCCAACAAATTGGACAACCTGGAAGAAATGGACAAATTCCTGAACACCCACACTCTTCCAAAACTCAATCAGGAGGAAATAGAAAGCTTGAATAGACCCATAACCAGCGAAGAAATTGAATCGGTTATCAAAAATCTCCCAACAAATAAAGAGTCCACTACCAGATGGCTTCCCAGGGGAGGTCTGCCAGACGTTTAAGCAGAGATAATACCTATCCTTCTCAAGCTATTCCAAGGAATAAAAAGGTAAGGAAAACTTCCAGACTCATTCTATGAAGCCAGTATTACTTTGATTCCCAAACCACACAGAGACCCAGTACAAAAGAGAACTACAGGCCAATATCCCTGATGAATATGGATGCAAAAATTCTCAGTAAGATACTAGCAAATCGAATTCAACAGCATATAAACAGAATTATTCACCATGATCAAGTGGGATTCATTCCTGGGATGCAGGGCTGGTTCAACATTCGCAAATCAATCAACGTGATACATCACAGTAAGAAAAGAAAAGAGAAGAACCATATGATCCTGTCAATCGATGCAGAAAAGGCCTTTGACAAAATTCAGCATCCTTTCTTAATAAAAATCCTTGAGAAAGTCGGGATAGAAGGAGCATACTTAAAGATCATAAATGCCATTTATGAAAAGCCTACAGCTAACATCATCCTCAATGGGGAAAAACTGAGAGCTTTTTCCCTGAGATCAGGAACACGACAGGGATGCCCACTCTCACCGCTGTTGTTTAACATAGTGCTGGAAGTTCTAGCATCAGCAATCAGACAACAAAGGGAAATCAAAGGCATCAAAATTGGCAAAGATGAAGTCAAGCTTTCGCTTTTTGCAGATGACATGATATTATACATGGAAAATCCGACAGACTCCACCAAAAGTCTGCTAGAACTGATACATGAATTCAGCAAAGTTGCAGGATACAAAATCAATGTACAGAAATCAGTTGCATTCTTATACACTAACAATGAAGCAACAGAAAGACAAATAAAGAAACTGATCCCATTCACAATTGCACCAAGAAGCATAAAATACCTAGGAATAAATCTAACCAAAGATGTAAAGGATCTGTATGCTGAAAACTATAGAAAGCTTATGAAGGTAATTGAAGAAGATTTAAAGAAATGGAAAGACATTCCCTGCTCATGGATTGGAAGAATAAATATTGTCAAAATGTCAATACTACCCAAAGCTATCTACACATTCAATGCAATCCCAATCAAAATTGCACCAGCATTCTTCTCTAAACTAGAACAAGCAATCCTAAAATTCACATGGAACCACAAAAGGCCCCAGATAGCCAAAGTAATTTTGAAGAAGAAGACCAAAGCAGGAGGCATCACAATCCCAGACTTTAGCCTCTACTACAAAGCTGTCATCATCAAGACAGCATGGTATTGGCACAAAAACAGACACATAGACCAATGGAATAGAATAGAAACCCCAGAACTAGACCCACAAACGTATGGCCAACT